ATGAGAGTACACACCGATAGTACGTACATACTAACAACTTACCTTCTGTGGTCAAATATTGTATCATAATGAGAGTACACCCCGATGGTACGTACATACTAACATTTTACCTTCGGTGATCAAATATTGTATCATAATCATGACAAAGCAAGAATGCGCGTTGATTGGCTTACTACTCATAAAACTAAATGAATGTCGCAGGCGCATGCACCATTATGAGATTTGCGCAAGCTAGGTGTTTTTTATTTGTTCAGCAATACTCCATATACAGCTATTTGAAATGATGTTGTAGATTTAGTGCGATCCTTATTAACTTGTCAGTAATGGTATTACTTCTATCGTCAGGTTCACTGTGGCGGTATGTTCGTGCTAGTATGTCTCTCTCCGGGTACCTGCCTCCTCTATGTGACCCTAAAGATGGCCATCTGCTGCTGGACGGTGGATATGTCAATAATTTACCAGGTATCGTCTCCCACCCCTACCACACCCCTTCCTCTACCTCTGTCTTTCTCCGATTACTTGCCTCATCTATGTGGCCCTAAAGATGGCCATCTGCTGCTGCACGGTGGATATGTCAATAATTTACCATGCATTGTCTCCTACCCCTACCCCACCCCACCCTCTACCCAAAAAGAAACAACAACAACTAGAAAACTGGAAAATGCCAAACCGTGTTCACATAAACTATGCAAACCTTAGTTCAGAACTATATTGAAGTAACGTAAAACGAACTTAAAAAGCAGTTATAACGTACGCAGGGATTGGCAGAACACAAGAGAAGTGTTAGGAGAAACACAACGAAAAGAGCAATAACCTTTTATTTGGATAGCATTGAAGCAATAAAAACTGAGCGCGTGTGCAGTGTGCAGTTATAAGGCACTCGGAGATTGGTAGAGCACGAGTGAGAAGTGTTAGGAAAAGCACGTCGCAAATAAAATAATAGATTTTATGACCAATTTAAATCAATGTTAATTTTCAGCTGATGTGATGAAGAAAATGGGAGCACAGACGATTATTGCTATTGATGTGGGATCGGAAGACCATGGTGAACTCATGAATTACGGGGATCATTTATCGGGATGGTGGCTGCTATGGAACCGATGGAATCCCTTCTCAGAAACTGTCAGGGTTAGTGCAAGCATTGTATTTAACAGTCACTTGCCTGTTTTCTTATTTCTCTCCGGCTCTCCCTTCCACTTTCCCTTTCCTTCATTTTCTTTTCACACATGCCCGGCATTGGCCTATGGTGTCCCCTGTYCCGAAAGGACTGTCTCTACCATCCCTTGGGGATCCCCAATACATCCCCTGTCTATCCCTTGTCCCTGTTTTATCCTTTAGAATACCGGTGTCTTTCCTGTCCCCGAGTTCCCTGGGGATCCCCTTAGACATCCCTTTGCCGTTCCCTTGTCCCTGGCCTACCATTATCGCTACTAGTGTCGTTTTCTCGTTCGTTTTGTTGCTCATTCTCATTACTCGTGGTGGCCCTACCAGTACGCATATATGAGAAGTCACTAATTA